GGCGCCGAGCCTCAGGCTGACTTCTTAAAGTCCCTTGTGTAGCAGTGCCAGCAGGGGCCTGTGCATTTCAGTGATAAGGAATCTCATTTTATTAACCAAGTGGCCTGCTCGGCTGGTGGAACGCTCTTAGTGACGTGAAATATCTATTTTTTCTAAACAATAAGATGAACTTTGCCTTTTTTTTTTTTTTGAGATAGAGTCTTAGTACGTTGCCCTCGGTAGAATGCGGTGGCATCACAGCTCACAGCAGCCTCCAACTCTTGGGCGTAAGCGATTCTCTTGTCTCAGCCTCCCGAGTAGCTGGGACTACAGGCACCCGCCACAACGCCCCGCTATTTTTTCTTGCAATTGTCATTGTGCCCATCTATCCCACCATCCTCGATGTATGTGTCCAGCTATACACTGTGCTACGGGTGCCGAGCCTGAACCTAGCTTTCTTGTAAGTCAGGTTGTGCTTTCTGGGAAAGCACACAAGCTACCTGCTCAGCAGCATGACCACCGATGGAACGTGCCCTTCTGGTTCTTCCATCAAAACCGACTTTGCATTCCCTTCTCCTCTGCTCCACAGCTTGATGACATCTTTCCCATCACCCATATTTTCTCAGGTCAAATACACGGTATGTTTTTGTTTGGTTTGAGACAGTTTCATTTTGGTGCCCTCAGAAGAGTGCCCTGGCGTCACAACCACCTCAGAGACTCTTGGGCTTAAGCGATCCTCTTGCCTCAGCCTCCCGAGTAGCTGGGACTACAGGCGCCCGCCCTAACACCCGCCTATTTTTAGACATGGGGTCTTGCTCTGGCTCATGTTAGTCTTGAACTCCTGAGCTCAGGCAGAGTGATGGGATTACAGGCATGAGCCACTGCGCCCAGCTAATACATGGTATGTTTTATGCAGAGAAGTTTGGGAAGGTGGGCACATGATAGGCATTCAATAAATGGTAGTTCATGTTATAAATGAAGAATAAAACGTCAAAGAAAAAAAGCCCACATTGAAATACTGTCTCCTATTCCACGAGGAACGTTTTAATAAATATTGCAGCCACATCATTTATACTAAGGCTTACAAAAATATACCCAACTGCCCTTTCCTCCCGGCTCATCTTCTGCTGAAGCTTCAACACCCCTCCCTGTCCGAGTCTGGGCAGGTGCACTCGCAAATAAGGATGAAGCAGCAGCCAAGGGAGTCAGCCCCACCGCACGTCTAGACCCGGGACGCGCGGGGCTCTCTCTCCTCTCTCTTTCACCCCTACGGGCCCCAGCACAAGATCCAAAATGGAGTTCGGAAGGTGGCCCACGTGAGGACACCTGGGCGCTCCCCAAACCTGGGCAGGTGACAGGTTGTACGAAGCCTGGAGGAAGAATGAGCCCTCTTTCCAAGATCCATGCTCTAAGTTTCTTATTAAACTTTGAAAATTTTATTTCAGAAGTGGGAGGAACAGGGAAGACAGAGAAAGGACACGAGAAATTTCTTCCCTCTATCAATCCAGAATGTTCCACACACACAACCCAAGGAGTTTGGTTTTTTTGTTTTTTTAAATAACCCCGTGTCACTCGTACCATATGCAGGCACCCCTAATTTTACAAAGCCCAGACCCCAGCGTGGTAACCTTCACCGTCTCTCCCTTTCTTGGCAAGTCCGAGAAGATGCTAAGGCCTTAACTCCTGAAAGGAGAATCCCAACTACCAGAAACCTGGATGGACACATTTTCTTGGCAGGGAATTTTCAGTCCCTTTCATGAGACACATGAATCGTGTAAATGGCAGATTTGAAATTCTACCCCTTGTAACAATCAAGGTGGTTTGGGTGAAGCAGAATTTGTAGCCCCCTCTAGAATGGAGTCTTGCCGTTAATATTCGGCATAACTGCTTCCCCAGGGAAGAGGCTTGAATAAACAGGTAGGAACTATTACAGCAAACATCTGGAAACAGCCTCGCCACTGACTCACAGGGGGCTTGTCGATATTTTAGATGAGAGAGATCGCACCTGCACGCACGGCCTTCCTCCTCCAGAACCTTCCTCCATCTCCCCAGGCCAGGTCTCCTTAAACTGATTTAAAACTCAGTTTATGCAAATTCTCCTCATCACAGCCTCTGGAAGACCCATCCTAGAAGTGTCACCCACCCAGCCTGGGCAGTCTCCTTCTGAGCACTGGGCAATGACAGCAGCTCATCACAGGGACAAAAACAGCTGGAGGCAGTCACAACGGCAGAGACCGGAATGGTTTGACGCCAGACCTGGCAGGCTGGTTGGCTTTCCCAGCCCCCAGTCCATGGGGGCGTCCACCTGAGGACCCCACACAAAGGAGATGGCCTCCGGCTCTCTGCACTTGGCCTAGCAGTAACCATGACCATTCATTCAAGGGGAAAAATCTCAAAACTCCCTTCTTCCATCCCAAATGGAGTTTTTATTAAATGACAGAACTATGGGACAGTGGAGCTAAAAGCCCCCAAGCAAACAGGCTTTTCATTGCTACATCCTTCTCTGGTGGGGAAGGAGGAGAAAAATCCATGTATTTTGACGAATAATTGATAACAAAGTGGAGCCGGTGCTTCTGGCTAGCAGCCTAGTGCCGAACCTCAGGAGCACTCTAGAGAATACATAATGTAGGCACTGATATTAATTTTTCAAGAAGCACGAAAAGCCTCTTTCTACACCATAGCGTGTAACCTGAATATCTCCATGTGTTTACTCCCTGGCACGCTGCTTAGATTTTTTTTCAGCTATTAGCAACAGTGACCCTGTCATTCCACGGGCTCACTCGGCCCATCACCTTCCCCACATAGGGTCAAACACAGCAGAGGATTAGTGACCATGAGTTATTTTAAATGCTGGTGATAAAGGTTAAATGAAACAAAACAAAGTTCTGCCTTTGGAAGATAAGGGTGGCTATGAGATGGGAAGGCGGCATGAAGAAAGCAGGTGAGCTGGGCCAGACACGGAAGACACCACGGAGGGGAGAAGTGAAAATCGGCTGGTTACCTCTCGCTGAATCCGGGCAGGCATGAGGAGGGAACAGAGCAGAAACAACACGTTAGCATTCACGCGGCATCCCGCGGGCAACACAGCCCCCTAACACAGCTCCGCGCTGACAGTCCCTCTCACTCCCCAACTTTGCAGCAATTAATAGCCTTTCAGGGCTTTTTTTAGCTGAACTCTATTGCCCAGGAGTGTGTATTTTGAGCTACGTTACGATGAAGCCAAGAGACGCCAGCTGAATTTACAGAGGCAACATATCAACCGGGGGAGGTAATCAAGCTTAAAATATCTCAGTCAAATACAGGAAACTATTCGCAGTCAACACTGGCAGAGCACGCATCTTCATTTTCCAGCTCCACCTGCTTCCACTGAACAACATCCAGAAACAATGACGTGGACCCCACCTCACCTGTTCCTCTGACTCTCCCGACACTGTATTAATAAAGCTACGACGCTGAACCCAGGACCTTCCACTGAGATGCATCCTCAGAAGGTGACGGGAGGGAGGCAGTGTAGGAGGGCAGGGCAGAGGTGGGAGGGACAGTGGATGAAAGCGTAGAGGGGGGCTCAGGGCCCAGCCAGGGAAGAGGGAAGGGAACGGGGAGGGGAGAGCAGCTCTAGGTTTGGGGCTCACGCTTGGACTTCCATCCCCAGAGCTGCCCTGAGCCATCTGGGACCCTAATGAAGTCACCTACCCCCTTAACCCTCCGTGCTCACCGCTCCCTCTGGCCTTGTCACAGCTGATCTGCAAGGGCCCAAGGGCAGAGGTTGGTCACATGCACGCACTGAACTCAGGGCAACTAGACTGAGGAGGAAGGGGACAAGCTGGTGATCACGGAGACCCGCTCTCTTCTTGGGCACTCTGTGGCCAGGGTCATGGAGCGGCCAGCAGAGCCCTGCAGGCCTGGGGCCAAAACCACGCGTGGGCCACCAAGTGCATCAGACAGTGAAATGCACAGTCAACGCTTGGAAAGGCAGGGAGCGACACCCTGACACAGAACAATGACCAGGCACGCTGGGATGTCTCATATGAGAAACATAATGTTCGAACATGTATTTTAACACACACATAGTAAAAATTCCAGAACATAATACCCAAACTGTCAACTGTAATCTGGAGGGGAGATTATGGAAGATTTTGTTCTAAAATTATAAACACTTATGACTTGAGATAAAAATATGTAAACACCTACCTCAACATTTGAGGGAAACCACTGTCACAAGCATGCCCCAAGGCACAGGTAATGAGACTAATAAACCCAACAACCACCCTTAAGGTGAGCTCTGGCTCCACATGGCCCCTACCAGCCACTGGACAAGGTCAGTATTACTGTTCTCCCCAACAGATGAGGAAACAAGTTCAGAGAGGTTAAGGCACTTGGCCAAAGTAACACGGCTGGGATCTGGGGAAGACAGAGCTCAACCCTGGGTGGCAGGACTCTCAGATTCCAGCCCTCTTAGATGCCCCACAGTGGGTACCCTACACTTCTACATGGCCCTGGAGAGTGCTCTACTGGTCTGTCTCCTAAATGATATACCCAGAAAGGCCCTATGCACAGGTGTTCAAGGGCAGGCAGAGGGTCTGGCAAAGATCCTAGAGTTTTAGAGGAACGGAGAATCTCTTCCCCTTTGGTGAATTTTCTGCAGGGAGAGGTGGTGGAAAATTCTAACAGGCGAGGCTGTAGAGGCTGAAGAGGCAGACAGCTGAGCTCAAGTCCAGGCGGTGGCATGTTCCTCTGGGATGCTACTTACCTGCTCTTTGGTCACTCAACACAAATCTCCTGGGCTCCCTCTGGGCACCAGGCGCGCTGTGTTACGTGGTGTGGGCCCTGGGGCCTGTTTCCTCATCAGTGAAAAGGGGATAAGGACTCCTGGCTCAGAGTCATCACGAGAAGGAAATTAAATGAAGGGATACATGTATAGAGTGCCAGGCACACAACACAGCTGCCACAGCCAGCATCACGGCGGCATCACTGCTAAGTCACCTGCCAGTTGTACTTCAGCTGGGTCATGCTGGGCAGCCTGGAGATGGACTGTCTCCCGAGGGAGGAGCCACCTGGAGACGTAGTGGCGGCCCTCTCAGATCTGTGGACACCACCTCCCCCAGAAGGACGGAGAGTCACCTCCCAGTCAGGTCCGGCTGACACCACCTCGGCCCTGCCCAGCACAGCCAACCACAGGCAATTTCGATCATCAGCAAAGCATTGAGAGCCCTGGATTCCAATCCGTTTGAGTAGATGGCTGCGTAACATCATGTAAGTCATAACCCTCCTGAGTCTTGGATTTCTTATCCAGGAACAGAAACTCTAGGAACTTCCCAGGGTGCAGCTTTGCATCAGAAAAATAATGTTAGCGCTTTGACTCACTTGTGATTTAGGCCAAACGCTTTTAATTTCTTATTCTTAATAAAAAGCCTACGCCTAGTATATGATAAGAACTTTTAAAATCTAAAAAACCTGAGAATACAAGGTTTCCTTTGTGTATAATTATTACTATAGTCTTGGAGTTTTAAAAAAACCAGACCCATGGCTAGTGATTCACTTAAGGAAGTACCATTAATACATGTTTTTCCCTGAAGGCAGAACTTGGAAATATGATAATGCAAACTTTGAACGCCATTAATTCTTTGGGGGGTTAATAAACAGGGCTTGATACAAGTACCAAAGTGAAAACCAGCCATAAACAGAGACCTCAGAGAGATCTCGGAAATGTCATTCAAAGATCCAGCGGAGTTCCTGCACAAGACGAGCCATTTCTGAGAGTGGAGACGGCTAAATTTAGAGTCGGGCGTGAGCTTACTCTCTCCTCGCTGTACAAGATGCCGGTGGGAAGAATTAAACCCCAAGATTAATTCCACATGAGCCGCACACCCCAAAGCTGCCTGATCAGCATGCTCTCCACACTGTTTCCCGGGAAAATGAATGTGGGAGTAATCGGCAATGTTTTCCTTAATATAAGCCCGAAATAACAGAACCACTTGGCGTGTGTAACTGGAATCTAAATGAAGAGGAAATTCCTCAAAAAAGCCCAGCACGCCAGGATGACAATGTCCGTGTTAGCTTTTAGGGAGAGGATGCTATCTCTTCTTCCTGGCCACAGCCACTTACTTCTTACGCCACACACAGCCGCCCACTTTTCATGGACGGAGCACCCAAGACCAGGGCCTGCCAGTGGCCTCCCCGCCCCCATTCTCGCAGAGGTTCCCATGCATGCTAAGTTTGACGCTTGTCTTGCGTCACTGGGAGTCTCCTGAGCACAGATCCATATGACAAGAAAAGCAAACCGCATGAAACTTTATGTCATAAAAATTCTTGCACCAGCTCCTGACAGTTTATTTTTTCCCCTCCAGTTGTAAGTTTTTTGAATGTCTGGCATTTACTAGTTGTTGCCCTTTGGTCAAGGCGTGGGAGCCTCTTTGTTCTTCAGTTTCTTCATCTGTACGAGGGGGGGTCATGGCCGGAGAGCGCTGTGGAAGTGACATTAGTTTAATACAGGTGAACTCTTCCCGGGTGGGGGCTCACAGCATGGCCCTGACGTGCAGGCTGGGCGGTGCACACTGCCTGGAGTGAGGGGGGAGCCAGCCAAGACGAAGGAAAGGTCGCTGGTCTGTTTTGAACCATGGGTGGCACCTTTTGGAATCTGATGTAAGCACTCCAAAAAAAGGTGCATGAACTCATAATTTTATGCACAATTTTGAAGATGGGTGGTACTGGGAATGTTCAGTGATTCCTGAAACTCACTCACAGACCCCTTTAGAATCTGTACCCTGCAGGTAAAAGGCCTCTGAACTGAAATGAATACCAAATTTATGCAAATTTACCATCTGGTTTCTGATGATATTCAGAGAATTCAGCTCAGGGAAAAAGTTCCATCCTTCCCAGGACCAAACAGCAACAAGAATACCTGCCTTTGCCCAAAGGTGCCTCCTTTCCAAAGCCAGCGCCCCCCACCTCCATCCTGCCCACCAGCACCAGGTAGGGGCAAAGTTCCAGAATGTTGAAGTGTACGGCTAGGATTTAAAGCAGTTAGGTTATTGAAATTCAAGGCACATTCTTCTATACAAAGGACTTTCTCATGCCAAGGGTGAGAAGACACAATAGTTACCAGTCAGCCTACTAATGGGGGTGGGGGGGGGAGAAGGATATTGACAAGAATCCAGAAAATGAGAATTTCTTAAACTCTATTTTTGAAGACAGGGAGAATTAATGAGCTTCAGCTTTCATCTGTGCTATATTACAATAAATAAAACACAAAGACCTTGCTTCTCTGAATACCAAAGAGAAATAAGAATACACACACAACTTACATTTAGTTCTGAGGGGGAGGTAACTCCTGCCAGGTTTTGTTTTCAATTTTTTTTTTTTTTTTGAGACAAAGTCTTACTACATCACCCTCGGTAGAGTGCCGTAGCATCACAGCTCACAGCAACCTCAAATTCTTGGGCTTAAGTGATTCTCTTGCCTCAGCTTCCCGAGTAGCTGGGACCACAGGCGCCTGCTACAACACCCAGCCATTTTTTGTTGTTGTTGCAGTAGTCATTGTTGTTTAGCAGGCCTGGGCTGGCGCCCTACTCACTAAGCTACGGCGCCAGCCTGTTTTCAATTTTGTAACATTTAGCAGAGGTGTCCAACCAGTAGACCTGTGGACCACATGCTGATCTTGTCAGGACTTTTTTTTTTGTTTGTTTGTTTTGCTGTTGTGTTGGGTATCTCGAAAAGTATGGACAGACCATTTTTTTGCTGATTAGTTTTCATTAGTGTTTGTGTATTTAATGTGTGGCCCAGGACAACTCTTATTCTTTCAATGTGTGGCATAGATAAAAAAAATGTTGGATACTCCTTGCTTAGGGTATAACTGAAGGATTAAGTTTATGTGAGTTGTACTTGAATGGTGAAAACTTGGGCTGGCTTCCTTTCTGAAAGGGAACAGGATAAAACAAAAACAACAAATATTCCACACCCAGAAGGCTCCTATATGAAGTCACAGTAACCCGTGAAGGTGTAGGACTC